CATTGCTACCACTGAACAAGGGATTAGTGGCAGGGTGAGGAAGGAAAAGTGGGAGCTGGTAGGAGAGGCTTTATAGAGGCCAGACTGGCTGGTGTCCTTTAGGGATGGATGCTTTCTTTAGGATGGCCCCAGCAAACACACCATAAAGGCGCGCACAGCCATTGCTGACAGATACCCAGCAATGGCTTGCACACAGATGCTGTACCCACAGTTTACTTGTGCATATCACAGAATGCACATTCACACAGAAGTCATGCACAGCTCCCCACAGTGCTGCATGTACAAGTGTGTGCTTTACAGAGAGATCATTTACACTGGTGCACAGGTTGCATGAGGCTCCCACAACATCATGTACGTGAATGCTGTGCACACAGAACTCATTCACGTGCCTGCCTCACAAACCTGCTGTCTGCAAAATCTCTCACAACTCTACACACGTGGCCAGCATTGTTGGCATGTGTACATGTCTGTCATGCATGCATGCTTCTGTTAGATCCCATGTGAACATGCATGTGCACAAGGTAACACAGATCGCTTGCATCTCTAAATAGGGTGTGTACAGGCACCCTTTTTAGAGATACAAGCACCCTCTCTCCCTCTGTTAACCAACAGTAGTGGTATTGCTGTACTCATGAAGCACAAGAGCAAATGGTGAAAGGGTCAGGTTTAGGGTAACAGCTTCTAGCTCTTCTGGTAGATTTTAGGACTTGGCTTAGAGCTGAAGACTCACCCTGTGAGAGACTTCACATCCCCTCGTCCCCACTTTGTTCTTCTAAGAAGCAGTGAGCACAGAACCCTCTTTAAAGTGCCCTTCAGGGAGCACTTTACCGAGAGGAGCTGTTAGCATTGTTCCAGTTGTAGCAGGGTTCAGCAGCCTCCCCGAGTGGTGGTAGCACATGTTGGCTTCATTCCGGCACCGGGGGCACATCATTCACTGATCCAACCTGCTCGCTCCCCTTTCCCCTTCCAGCCTGCATTATTAATCACATGTAATGCAAAAGAGATGTTAGTGGGGAGCATGAGAGAGAGGCACATGGGTTCAGTGTAGGGGGGGTGCCAAATTCCCTTGGTGGAGGTTCCTTTGAAAGGCCTGAATTGGCCACAGTTTCACAGAGAGGAGAGTTTTGTTTCAGAAGGCTGGCAGAAAGCAAAGGGGGAATAGTTTGGGGTAGCTGAGGTAGGGAATGGGGGCTCCCCCTGTCACTTTCTGTCCCCTGTTGTACCATGTGAGTGAGGTCAGAACCTATGTGTGTGTGGTGGAGGGTGACAGTTTGAGAGGAGTGTGTGGGCTAAGTAATTTTATGGAGGATGGCACTTGAATATGCGTCTCAGTGACTGTAGGGGAGAGTGCATATATTTGTGAGTGGGGAGGAGGGAATGGGGGTGTGAGGAGGAGCAAGCGTGTGGTGCAGGGGAGTGTGTGCATAGGGGTGTGTGTGTGTGTGTGTAAGAGTATGGGGGTCATGGGTGCATGGTACAGAGGTATGTGTGCATCTAGGTTCATCAGGGAGTACAGTGCAGGAGTGTGTTTGTTTTATCGGTGTAGGAGTGAAGAGTTGTGTTTGGCACACAAATGCGTGTAGGTATGTGAAAACTTGAGTGTGTAGAAGTGTGAGTTGTCTTTGGTGCAGGGGGGTTGGGGAACTGTGAAGAATTGTGGGAGTATTGTAGGGGTGTGCATGAATTTGAGTGCAAGTATAAGGAGTGGTGGGAGTGTGGCACAGGGGAATGTATCTGTGTAGAAGTGAGAGGAAGCGCACAATTGTGTGCATTTGTGTGAAATGTTGTGGGAGTGTCATGCAGGGGTGTATGTGTGTGTGTTGTGGATGCCAGGGTAGAAGGAATTGTGTTTGTACAGGGGTAAGCCTCTAGAAGTGTGAGGAGCTGTGGGAGTGTAGTGCAAGACATTTGTGTGTAAAAGGGTGAGGATTGATTAGAGAATGGGGGTTGTGTAGGAGGGTGAGGAGCTGTGCTTGGCATAGGGGTGTGTGTGTGGGGGAAATAAGCAGTTTTATGGAAGAGAGTGTGCATGCATATGTTTGTCAAGGAGTGCATATGTTGATTGTGTCTCTTTGTGCTTATTAGAGCATGCACATACAGTCACATTACCACAGGAACAAATCTTTCAGGCCTTACTCTGCTTTCATTGAGCCTGGGGGTCAGGGAACTCTCACTTATGTGAGTGGGGATTCTGCTTCTGGAGGAGGATGTTGAGACAGGTCTAGTGGTGTCTAGCCTTGCAAAAGTCTGTAAGTGCGGCTAGGGTTAGACACATCCCTGTAATCACACATACATCTCTGTGCTCAACACCAGCGCACATCCATATACATCACGCATGTGCCTTCTAACCCACACCTGCAACCCTATACTGACACATCAACATACACATCTGCACACCATGCATGTACCTTCTTATACACCAACACACACAAATGTACACCATGCATGTGCATTTTTTCCACACACCAAAAATGTATGCACTTGTACACTCTCACCCCAACGCACACATCTATATGGTATGCATGTGTTGCCCCACGCTCAACCTTTATACACATACCCCTACACCAACACACCCATGTACACATGCATACACCCTCTCCCCCACCCCCATACCTACATCTACACTGATAACATAACACACAAGTCTATGTACTGTGTGCATGCTGTGCAGGCTTGTTCGTTTCCAAACCAGTACAGGATACATGCACATTCAAACCCATGCACTACCTTCCTCATGTACACCTGACAAGTGCATTCCCACGTGAACACACTTACACAGATAATCTCCCCTATAAAGGCCCACCAGCCCTATTAAAAGTTAATTTTAACACCAAGCCCCACTCACCCACTGCAATAAACTCTGATCCCCGTGTAGTGGCTTTATCATGGTTGTTAAGCAACACTTACAGAACATTTTCAGCACTGTCCCTAATAACCGGCTTGCCTTTGTCCTTCTATCATGCCCTCCTACTCATGTTTCTGTCGCCCTCCCTCCTGTGACCTGGCCAAAGCTGTCCCCAGCCTCCCTCAGGCCCCACCTTCCACTAGGGTTTATGTATTACTTCACTGTGTTTAGAATTTGCAATCGCGTCCCCTGATGCTGCTATCAGCCAATTTCATAGCACTCTGGGCTGGTGGGACCTCACACTCTTCTTTGCATGCAAATTATACACATCCAATGCCAAAAGAAAGGAGGAAGAAGGAAGGAGTGAGGAGTGTGAATGTAAGCAGGATGCTTCAGTTCTCGATGCTCAGCCACTGAGCTGTAGCATGTGTTAGTGGATCGGAGAGCGACGGTGCTGAGAGGCTCTGGAACTGGGCAGACCTAGAGAAAATGGATATAGAGAGACTCAGAGACGGGCAGGATGGAATAAGTACAAGTGTGTGTGTGTGTGTGTGTGTACACATGCAGGTGTACAGAGTAATGCAGTGATTTTCAGGTTAAGTTCCTGTATAATAGCTATTTATAGAATATCATTTTTGTGCATGCAATGTTGTGTGTCCACATGTTGTATGTACAATGCATTTTGTCTTGGTGGTGGTGATGAGAAATATTTGTATGGTGGTGTGTCACTATTTTGTTTATATTTGGTGTCTGTTTGGGCTTGTGTGTGCATGATGGTATATGCCTGGGTGACGATGTATATCTATGGTGATGTGTAAGCATGTAGTTTGTACTAGGTGTATATTTGCCCTTGCATGATGGTGTATTGGCTGGTGATGTATTCACTGGCAAATCTGTGTGTGGTGTGCTTGACACTGAGTTTGTGTGTTTTGGGTAACTATATTTATGATATGTGTACCTCAGTGATGGAATTTGCTTGATGTGTGTCTACATCTGTCAGGGAGGGAGGCATTCGGTATGCATTTATCTGCTTATTGATGTGTGCTTATATTTGTGTGTTAGTATTTTAACACATATGTTTGTGTATAGTGTATTTGCTTGGGGACTAGGTGTGCATTTGTGTTTGTTAAAAGGCATGTGTTTTGATGGTATATTTGGGCTTGTGAGCTTATTTGTTTGAGTTATTTGTGAGTATATTTGTGTTTGTACAGCTCATTTGTTCACATTTTGGTGTATCTTTGCACTATGGTCAACATTTGGGCAGTGATGTGCATTTGTGCATTTCTGTGCTGGTGTGTGTGTGTAGATTACATGAACATGTGGTGTTTCCAAAAGACAGCATGTATTTGTATATGTGTACATGTTTGTATGTTTTTTGGGGTGGAGTGTGCATGCTGTGCATGTATGTGAAAGAATATGAACACTTCACCCTCTGGGTGGAGGTTTGAGGTTGCATGAAGTGTGTGTAAGGTTATGAGGGTGTATATGTGTGTCTGCATGAAGAGGTTGCAGTGTGGGATTGTGGCTGGGAGTGGGGTGTGTTTCTGTATAGTAAGTTAGTGTGTGGTAGTTTGTGTGTCTGGGGAGTGTGTGTATAGTAGGTTAGCAGGCGAGGCTGCCTGTCGGATTTGTGTGTGAGAGGATGTGCGCAGGGCGGTGGGGCATTATGTCTGTGTGCATGCACACACCAGCTCCTGTGTCAAAGGGGTATATTTATATGCTGTCCAGCCTGGCTTAGTCAGTCAGCAAAACACTCCTTCTTCCCACCATGCCAGGGGCTGGCTTATTCTGTCCTTGGTGGAACAGCCCAGGCCCTTTGTATGGAGGCCCTGCTTCCCTTGGTGCTTCAAGGTGCTTTACATTGGACCGTCTGTCTTTCCCACTGTCTTTGTCTATTTGTCTCTTCCCATGAGCACTAACATGCCCCTGCTAACTCGCGCCATGCACTGCCTGTGGTCTCAGCAGCTGTGCATCTCTCTGTCTCTGTCTCTCTCTCACATACACATGCACGCACACACACACACACACACACACACATTCACACACTGGATAGTCATCTGTGGTATATTCAGTTGCCATTGGAAACCTAAGAAAGAAGTGAATATATCCTCCAAGTCTTAGGCTCTGTTTTTTTTTCCCTTCCCTTCCCGTGCAGGAAGCAAAGACTTTCGCAATGAAACCCTTCCAGCTTCAATTCATGCAAGAACTGGAGTGCCACGTCCCAGGCCACTCCTCAGTGTGATGGTTTGGCCTTGACTGGAGGGGAGGGACACGGAGTTATTTGCCCCCGCTTCCCAGGTAAGGAGACTGCCATCTTTCTCCGGCCCTGGCTCCCACTGTGTTGTGTCTTCCCCTTGGGCACAAGGGAGGAGAGGGCAGGGTTTTCCACGTCAATCTTTGCTTGAACCTATGCTTACCCAGACACCCCACTGGGGGAGGCTGTTTCCACCCCACATGCCCTGCATGCTGTCAAGGGGAGGGGCTGTTTGCAAGCTTATGGGAGGAACATGTGCAGGTTTGTTCAGTGTGATCAGGAGCTCTCTCTCTACCCTCCACTCCTCCTGACACCTTCATTTCTCTTCTCATCACTTATTTTCTCTCGGCCTCTGAGTTCCCATTTCTCTGTACAGGGGTGCTGAGGTTTTACCACAGATAAGCCATGAGCCAGCCAGAGGATCTGCCGTGCTTAGTTGCTCTGCACCATTGCATGACTGTAAGGGGGAACCAGGCTGCTGGAGATACAGCCTGCCGTAGCATAGTAAGGGGCATCATTCAGGAGGGGGGCTGTTGCACTGCTACAGTTCCTCCTAGACTTGCTTGTTCTCTGCTTCTCTGCACCCCAGGCCAGCTCTGTTAGAAGTACTGGCCTCTGTTTTCTGGGTGAGCTGCTAATGCCTGGGGAGGTGTGTAGCCTGGGCATGTTCAGTTTCTGAGCCTCTGCTCTAGCCCCTGTGCCCAGCATGGTGGTAAAGGGTCAGTGGGTAGCCAGAGGTGCTGTGCTCTGTAATCCGGGCATGCTGTTGTCACCCCAGTGCCCCAGCACAGCGTTAGAAGGGGCCATGTGCTGCTAGCCTGAATTAGCAGAGCCTTCCCCCATGAGGTTATGGTGTACGTTGTTGCTGGGACTCATGCCCTGTTTAAATGTGCTTCAGCTTCAGCACAGGCTGCTGGGAACACTGTTCCTTATGGACCATCCCGCTGGGATCTGGGAGCAGTCAGGCTGGTTGCAGCTTTGCAAAAGAAGCTGCTGTCCTTAGGGAGGCAATGGAGTAAGAAGGTGGTACTGGATTGCTTGCTGTCTTTCCAGGATACACATGTTTTAGACTACAACAGACTGCGGGAGAAGGAGCTGTGGCTGGAGTGCTGCTCTCTGACTCAGAGCAGGGAGCACTAGCTGCCTGCGATGCAGTTTCTGTCGTAGTGGCAGGGAAGCTGTGGCTAAGGCTGGGTTACTGCAGTCTGGGGCAGTAGGCTATGCTTTAGTTGCGGTACCCAAAAGCCAGAGGCAGGGCCTTGCTGATTTACATTATGCTCATGTGTGGGTACAGGAAGCCTTTTGGTGACAAGAAGCAATGTGAACTGAACAAATACAGTAGCATAGACAGGGCCTCGCTTTGCATCCTAAGACCAGAAGTATGGGGTGGTGTTTTCACGGCTTTGTAGGCTGGGGGTGGGGGGGGCAGGAGCCTGGAATTTATTCTCTCGAGGAATGTGGAGAAGACTGAGGGAGGCATGAGCTGCTGAAACCAGTTGGAGGTCTAGTGGGTCAGGCACTCCTGCGTTCTAATCCCAGCTCTGCCACTGCCTCTAGGGAATTCCCTTACCTGTAACCATCTGTACCTCACTTTCCATACCTGTACAATGGGGGTGGCAATGAGCCGCTTTCATGGAGGCTGTGAGGCTCAGTTAATGCCTGCAGTGCACTTCCTGCTGCAAGTATGAATGCTGTTGAGGAAGGGGAGAGACAGGCCTGCACCCCCAGAGAGCTGAACAGGTTGGCACCGTGCTGGCTGGGGGCGGGCTGTAGCAGGGTCATGGAGGAGAATCAGTAATGGAATGGCTGCTATGTGCCAGGGCCGAGGCAGCAAGTCTCTCAAGCCTCTGTTTGTTTGTATAGAGAAAGAGGAGTTTGTGGCCTTGCTCTGTGGAAACAGAGTGAGGATTCATGGGTGATGGGCAGGCTGCTTTGCTGAGTCTGATTATGCAGCCATGCTGTCCATGTGCCGAAGGAGCAAAGTGGAGCCTGGTACAGGGCATGCCTGGAGCTGGGCCAGGCCTCACCCACACACCCGGCTGGGTAACGCTGAACATGGGGCTGAGAGATGCTCAGGATAGGTCTTCCAACAGGCTGTGCACAAATGGGGGGGAGGGATAGAGTGAGTGTGAGAGGGGCAACATCCAATGGCAGGGAGAATGGCCTGATGGACAAGCAGCAGAGGTGTGTGGTGAGGAGAGAGAAAAAGGAATAAAGACACAAAGAAGGAAAAGGAGTGTAGCAGAGAGGAGCTTAGCAGGGAAGTGAAGAGAAATGTGGCAGAGAGGAAGGGGACAAAAAAGGGAGGCAGGTACATTGCAAGGAGGCAAGGATAACAGTCCCTCTAAGGGAGGGAAGGATGGAGTGAGACCAGCAGAGGAAGAGTGAGACAGAATAAGATTCACGAGAGCCATGGCTCCACAGTGGGGTGAGACCATGGAGCCACAGTGGTGGAAGACCAGGGAGGGTCACTTGCCTGTTTTCCACAATGTTGTACACATGTTATGCTTGGAATACAGGACCCTGAATAGGTGGCTGCTCCAGTTTTTTGCCCAACAACCCTTTTATCTGACCCATGAGCACACTTGACCAGGGGAGTGCAGCATGTATCGTCCAGGAACACGAGCAGACTGCGGCTCTCACCAGTTGGCTGCGCCTTCTTCTAGGTGTCTCCCCAGCTCAGGGAGTCCATTTGTGCGCTCTGTTCCCAGGCAGGTGGCTCTACATCTTGTGCACGGAGTAAGGAGGTCAGGACCATTGTTGCCAAACACTTCCATAATGTGCTTTGCCTTGTCTGCTCGTTGCCTTCAAGGTAGTGTCTCAGAGGGTGAGGCTGACAAGGGAACTAGGACTTTGGGACATAGTTGGACAAGGGGACTGATTGTGGGGTACTGCACCCCTGGGTCAGGTGGGTCCTCACGTGCTGGATCTAATCTCTTTGTGGGCCGGATCTAGTCCATGTGTTGTAAGTTGCCAACCCCTACTGTAACATGCAGGGTAGGATGTATGTTCATGCTTCCCTTTACTGGTGGACTCAGAACTGCCGATCCATGTGTCACAGACCAGAACAGCCAAGGGAGATTCTCCTGTAGCTCAAGTGAGCAAAGCCTGTGGTTTCTGGGTTTGAAGAGCTGAGTGCTGTCCTGGTGCACATGAATTACCACAGTTCACAGTGCAATGACTGCTGTGAAGTCTGAGGTGATCACAGATTTGTGAAGAGGAACCAGACCGCTCCCAGGAAATACACCGGACCATGTTAACACACATCATTCAAGTCAATGGGAGATGATTGCTGATGGCAATGGATTACATACCCAAAGCGCAGCTTCTGGATGCCTCATTCCCTTAGGTACCAAATAGTAGTCATAAAACATTGTGGATTTCTACTTGGTCATCCCTGTTGAGCAGTGGATGGGGGAAGCCCAGTCCAAGTGAACATGAAGGGAGTTTTTCACGTGTGTCAAGGAGGTGTAACGATATTGAGACTTGGGCAGATGGTCTGGTACTTTTGAGAGCTGAATTGCTGGCACTGCAGAGTGTGAATGTGCCTGTCTGCAAACTGTTCTGCAGGTGAATGCACGCTATTAGGTGAGCTTCTTACGCTTGTATTGTATATTTTGCATATTGTATATGTGATCCACATAGCCATGTTTGTTTTGCATGTGTTAGGCTTCATGCAGGGGAGGATGTGCCTCAGACGTGCAAAGCCATGTGTTTTTATGGCTTGGCTCCAGAGAGTGCTTTACACGTGTGTTTTGGACATGTGTGTGTTGCCTGATCTGAACAGGTATGCCCTCCAAAGCTGGTTGAAGCAATTTGACCTCAATATGCAATGCTAACTTTGAGAGAAGGGTTTAGATAAGGTTGCTTGTTTTAGCTCCCCGGTGTTTCTCATCCCTTTCATGTCTCATGGCTGATTTAGAGCTGAAATGCAATCTCAGGAGCTAACAGCTGTGCATTGTTCACTTCACTTATTCTTGCTGGCTTGGCTTGCCTCCCAGGGTCAGGTGGGTCCTGGCATTCAGGTCAGTTTCTCTTCGATGAACCTTGGACCATGGATAAATCAATGGCTCCCCTGCCTTGAAAGCACCAGTGAGGGAGCAAGGGTCAGGCTGGAGCTTGCTAGGCAGCAACAGAGCCAAGCAAAGGCAGGGAACTAGGCTGGCCTGGGAGAGTTTTGGTGAAACAGGTTATCTGGGGAAGTCCATAGTGATCAACTCCGTATGCTTCCTGCGTCTAAAGCAATTCAGTGCCTCAGTCCCAGGGATGTTGTTGAATATCTAAATCAGTTGTTCTCAACCTCATTAGACTCAAGGCCCCCCTTGGAAAATGCCAGCTCTGAACTTTCAGACATTTTTTTAACTACAGAAAAGTAACAGAGCAATTCTTCTATTGCAAAGAAAGACCACAGCAAGTCAGGCTGTTTTTAACATGATGGATTCCAGGTTTATCCTGTGAATCATATTTACCCAACTAAGAGTGCTAACACTGTGTGGTACCTTTGAAAAGATCTCAAATGTGGCACCTTGGTTGAGAATCATTGATCAAAATGACTGCTTTTGCATCAGTCTTCACTACTGAGGATATTGTGTATGTTCCTATTCTGGACCTATCTTTTCCTGGTAACAAAGATGAAATACTGTTAGAGATTGAGGTTCCAGGAGGAGGAGGCCTGGAGCCAACCAATAATTAAAAACAAGCAAACAAACAAACAAGTTGCCAGGCCCTGGTGGTTGATTCCAAGAGTGGTGAAAGGAGCCTGCTAACCAAAACAGATGTGTAATTGGGCAGTTTTGGGCTCTAGGTGGCAATGATGCATGGGATAGTGGCTGCCTGGCAATGGCTGGGAGAGCAGTGGCAGCAGCTGCTATTTTTGTGCTCCCCGTAAGTCAGTGTCCAGGGCTGGTGTCCTGGTCGCTTCACCCTTCATTACGCTACTGAACCAAAATATGCAATCTTTCATAAAAAGCATTTCCTGTTCTAGAGGCTAGAGTGGACCGGATGTTGGACCTCTATTTAAAAAGAAAAGACTCTTGTGATGGTC